GGGGTCAGAGTGCAGCACCTGTCGAATTCCAGGCATGACGCTTGTCCGAACAGCTGGAGTCATCATGGGGACTGCAGCCAGCCAACAGGGCCGGGCCGCAATGCCACTGGCATGTACATCCCTGCTTCCCATGCAACTGCGTTGATCACGGCCCCGGTGCTCCATCTACCTGCAGGTCCGGGACCACCGCTGCAACAGCCGCGGCACCAAGACCAATTTTGAGCGGGACGACAGGGCTCAGACTGACGTCAAGGTTGGGCTTCGCTGGTTCCACAGGTTGCTGCGCAACATCCTCTCTCACGCCCCCATCCTGGATCAGCAGAAGTTCCTGGATGCCTACCCGCCAGAGATGGCTGCATTTCATAGCAGTGGTCGCATCAGCAAGGTGCTGACTGCGACCTACGAAAGCCTGAAGCCCAGCGGCAGCAGCAGCAGCATCGGCCAGCATGGCGGCAGCAGTGGCGGCCAGCGTGGCGGCAGCAGCGACACCCAGCGTGGCGGCAGCAGTGGCGCCCAGCGTGGCAGCAGCCCTAAGGCACTGATTGGGTCGGTAACCCATGGGTTACCCATCGGTTACCCACCTTCAACCCCCCGTAGCCCATTGGTAACCCCCTTGTAAGTTCCTACCCAGCAGGAGGGGTAACACGGCGCCAGGGTAACCCCCTCCGTTGCCCTGGACTATGGACATGGGCCTATAGGCTACTCATCTTATTTGCTGCGCACTTCGTGAATTCATTTTAGTGCATTTCTGTAAATGTACATGTTACATGTACATGTTGAACCTACAGTATCCCGGTAGCTCGGGAAGCATCGTTCGCCAATATGAATTAAAGGCCTCTAACGCTACAGGAAAATTTTAGTAGAAGATTTAGAACTATGTATGTATTCAGTTTTAGTGTTTGTTCCCGCTTTGAGGGCATGAAACTCCCGTGCCGTATTATTGTCCCTAATAAGATTATTCATTCGCATTCATACAGTTCGAAGTGGATTGGGGAACGCAATTTAGCTTGAAATCCATTGTGTCTCTGGCTAGTTCTGAAAAGAAATCAATCATGGATTAACAAGTTTCCCTTTCCCTTCTTCGCCGGTCAATCGCAGACGCCTCCGCGCCAGGCTCTGCCAGCTGCAGGCTTGTGGCAAACGGCCGCTGAGGGGCGGCTGGACAGCCGGCGGGCCGGGACGGGGTTCGTTCGGTCGAGTCTTTTAGCCTAGTAGTGTGGCCTTGGGAGCTCGGAGCTCAGAAGGGGTAGTGCTTGGTGTAGGGGGAAACTAGTCAGCTGAACCTGCAGGGATCTTCCCGGGTTCAGGAGGTAGCTACCTCTATAGATGTCGCCGCCACATGAGAGTCTGAGAGTCGTTCGAAGTTCTTTGGATAGGTTTATGTGTCATGCGCGTGTTGCCCCGCTGAGGGCATTGGTGGGCAGCACGAGGGGGGTATAGTGGGGCTGGGGTTGTGTTTTTCTGCAGTGTAAGGACCCTTAGCAACTTGTTTCCGCCTTCCCATATTAACCATCCAGGAGAACAGAATCCCAGAATCCCAGCCCAAAATAACCGTCATAGCTTAGATTTGAACCTGAGTGGAATCCGGAAGAGTTCATTCTCTATGGTATCACTTCAGTAAAAATAACTACAGCGGTTGAGGCAAGTCTAAGGTCATAACAAGCTTATGTGCGACAAGCATGTGCTGTCCTGCTTGCCTGCAGAAACGCTGGCAAGTTCTTTTATTATTGCAAGGACAACTAGGGGGGGGCTAAGTTTTGTAAACAGTTGGGCACATCTGTTGGCGGTAGTACATCCTGTGTGCAAGACTGCCCCATCCCCAGTTGTGAGCCTCCGCTTCTGGCTCGTCTCGTTCACCTGTTGCTGTTTCATTATCGCCTACCCCGTTGGGTACGGCCTCGTTTGGTAATGGCAAATCCGTTTCGTCTGCGCGGACCTCGTCGCTAGTGCAGCTTATGTGTCAGGATGCTGCTGTCTTTGCGGCTCTGAACTGCTGAGCCTCGTCGATTCTGTAACACAAAGACTAATTGCCTCTGCACCGATTGTCTCTGCACTTATTCCGTCCACTCGCATACTCCACACTTCTGAATTCGAGCAGCTTCAGCGAATGACTGGATTAGTTATGTGCCCCAAATTCAGTTCGACTCCACACAGCCTTCTGTCTTCCAGCTGTGCTGGGCATCACGGTTTCGTTCATCCGCCTCCTGCTTGCGCTCAGGAGTATCTGCACTGCATTCAACATCAGGTGGTTTTCTGTTGCCGAAGTGGGTTGCTGATAAGTGTCGTTCTTCGCTGTTCGGCATGACTCAGCTTCGTACCACACTTGTTATCACCTGTACGATGTTGTTGCTGCGATAGGAAAGCATCGTGGCTCTGCTGGGTTAACTGGTCGGGTCGAGTTCTGGTACGACCCTCAGTACCTGCTTCCGATGCTAACGTCGCTCCCTTGCCCTTTCTCCGTTTCT